AGCTCAGGCATCATTAGCATTTATGCAGAAGCCATGATCATACACATTGTAAACTGCTACTACGAAGGAACTAACCGTGTGGCATGTTTTCCTATCCCCATGTCGCCTTGCCTGTGTGCACACGATCGGATGTTGTGGTGGCAGCTCATAAACATAAAACATACGTACATAATAGAAGTCCACATTAGGCAGATGCTCCGCTGTGACCTTTTCAGCAGCGCTACTTCCTGCGAGAGATCCAAAATATAGACGACAAAGGTTTGCAGAGGATGATAAAATGTAGAGAGCGATTGTGTTAAATGTCTCATGAGGGAAGCGAAGCTAATAAGCTAAATTTTAACATGTCAAACCTAATAAAGCATCTTCAGGCTCATCACCCAAAGGAGCACAATGAATTTACTGTAATAAGAGAACAGCAGCTAGCAAGGCGGCTGTGGCAATCCCTGAGCAGACACGAGCAGTTATAGAGTGATAATGCTAAAACCGCAGCAATTACAGAGTAAAATGGCAGGAATTTATAACAGCAGATCAACAAGCACTTCTCAGAGAACATGAGGTTTACTTTGTTTGCTGAAGAACCAGTCTCTGATGTGAATGTAGTGTTAGCTTTTGTAATTCTGTAGGAATGCACTACGGCATTCAAATTTTTTCACTGACATTTATTTTTACCCATCAGCCTTTGCCACAAAGTCACACGGAGGCGTCAAAACACACAAACGTCATGCACTCACTGTCAGAAGAAGCAGAACTGATTATTTCCAGTCATATCACTTATGGATAAATTCCCATAACTTTGGTAAGAAGTCATTTAAAAAGGTGCTTTTTTGACTTTTTTTTCTTTTAAACCATTTCTAATCCAGATGATTTTTGTTTGAACAGTGTGAACAACAGGTGCTAATTGCCAAAGCAGCAGGATTTCCCATGATGCAGGCTTAGAAAAATATAAACCAATAGACTAAAAAGATGAAAGGAAGACTTCAGAGATTATGTGCGTTTTATGACTGTAGACGAAACCAAGTTATGATGTTACTTGTAGCTGTAGTTTTGTTTCACCAAAGTTGTGCAAAGTAGCCAATCCTTGCTGATCTTAAAATCACGGATTCGGTGTCTTATAGCAAGTGTTGACTTGAAGGCCAACATGTCTCATAGTACAGAGGAACTACAGGAACACTCATGAAAGAAATCCTAACCAGACATTTCGAAATGCAGCAGAGCAGAGAGAAGACACAGATAAGAAAGACGTCCTGACTTTAGCTCTCCAACCAACCCTCATGGTTGATTTATCTCGTCTTTGAGTGACCCCACATGTGTCGGCCTTTGACAGCTGATCATATAATGCAGATGAGCCTGAATTTCCCCGATCTGGACCTCGTGTTCAGCTCCCTCTTGACTAGGACTCCCGCTTTAGAAAAGATGGAGACAATGAAGATGAGCGCAGAGGCTTTGATGCTTTATTCACGTCACTTTTTCAAAGGACGTGTCCAGTTCTTCAGCTTCCTCGCACCTTCCCCTCTCCCCACCCCTCAACGCTGGCTCGGATCGATCCAACCACGTCTCCCAGTCCCACATGTCATCTTTTTTCTTTGACACACTCTCCCCACTGCTTGGTATTCTGGAGTGGAAATGCATGCACCATCGCAGATCCATCAGGTCCGATCGGAATGCCGCACCATGGCTCGGAAAAACAGAGGGATGAGGGAAGGGAGGAGAGAGAGAGAGAGAGAGACGGGAAATAAGGGGGAGCAGGTCAGCGGCTTGTCGACGTCCTTCTGGGAGCGAAACCTCGGACTAGCAAGGAGAAAGAAAGAGAGGAGTGGGAGAGGATGAGGGTGAGAGAAGGAAAAAGGGCACCCTTTGATTTCTGAGGAGCCATTTTTGTTAATGTTGTTCATTTCCTTTCAAATCAGCCACACAAGTTCTTTATTTTCCACAGCGGAGTCAGTCTATAGTAGACCAACATGCATCCACAAGAGCATCGACTTTGTTACACTGAGGCTCCTCGTACTGTACTATAGCTGATAGACACGTCATACATACAGATGCCAATGAAACGGCTTCTCTCATGACTGAACTTCATACAGTTTACCCCTGAGAAAGATACAGGCGTAATGAATAGTGTCTGTTTTGTCATCTTCATGTAAAGTCTAATCAGTTTTCCTTCTGCAGCACAGTGGCCGAGACAGCTTGACACATTGCAGCTTAAGAAAATGCATCGGCAGTTTGAAGGGAAAAAAAAAAAACATTACCAAGCAAATCACAGGCAAATTAGGACAACATTCACCAGTCTGAGAGTCCTCAGCATGAAGAAATGCACTGTAAAAACTGAAACCCCAGACAGCAGCAGAAATGCTGCACAGTCATAGAAATGACTAGATGTGTTTCCGTAACAAACAATTCATGCACATTTTGAGGTATCGTATTAGAAAAGTGAATGGAAACAGCAAAACAATAATTTTAGAAAAACTAATTTTGCTCAGTGCTGTAAGTTAGCTCAGTGCTTAGCACTTAGGGGCAGATAGAAGATCCCCGGTTTGCATCCTGGTTAGGATGGCCCGTGCAGCGTGGGTTCTCTCTGGGTTCTCTCCAGCTTCCTCCCACAGTCCAAAAACATGCTGAGGTTAATTGGTGATTCTAAATTGTCCATAGGTGTGAATGTGAGTGTGCTTGTTTGTCTCTCTGTGTAGCCCTGTGATAGACTGGTGACCTGTCCAGGGTGTCCCCTGCCTTCACCCTAATTTGGCTGGGATAGACTCCAGCAACCCTAGTGAGGATTAAGCGGTGTATAGATAGTGGATGGATGCATGGATGGATAATTTTGCTCACTCGAGTTTATTTTTGAAACACCATCTCCAGATAATTTCGGTAAAGCAAACACATGACCGATCAGCTGTTTCTGCTTCTTCTGTCGTGTTCGCCATTGGACACCATGAGACGTGGCCTAACCCAGCTGACACAAAGAATAACTAGAACTTTCCAAACAATACCTGAGGGCTTCTCTCCACTTTTCTCTTAGAAATGTCTTAAGTTTTGCTTTTTCCTTTTTATTTTTCTTCAGGGATTTTTAGTTGTTGTCACACAACTGGTTGTGTTTCAGACTTCTTCTACTCCGTTTATTCCACCATGCGTAAAGTAGCCGGTACCCCCACTTCTGATGACACTGTCCAGCCTGGTTTATTCACTCCATAGCAGTTAATGGACACAAGTCTGTTTTCTCGCATTTTCTCTTTTTATGTCTTGTAGCATTTCAAAAGTTCACTTACAATTCATCTGAATTCTGCAGAAACACATAGAGACACCACAAAAAGATGAAAGCACTGGACAAATGAGATAGCAAAGTTGGTTAAAGTTGGTTTTATTTGAATATTTTGACTGTGTGATATTAAAAGTTATAGAATTTTCCTTTAAACCTGTAATATCAGATGTTTTTTGTCTACTGTTTTACTATTTACTCTAGTTTTGGCTCTTCTTTGGTTTCCCTGGACTCCTCAATATCTGGCTCCAGTTAAATATCTCTCCAGCTAGTTGCCAATTTACTCCCGTTTCTCTTGTGGTTCTGGACAAGAAGGTTGCAGTGGGATTATCTCAGCTTTCATGCAGTCAAAGACTTTCAGATTATGCTGTTATAAATTTGTAAACTGTCTTATAGTTTCAGGCGATGTCATGGTCATTGTGTCGTTGGACAAGACACCTCACCCACCTTGCCTGGTGTGGATGTGTATGAATGGATTGTTTGAGGCGGTGGTCAGAGGGGCCGTAGGTGCAGAATGGTAGCCATGCTTCTGTCAGTCTGCCCCGGGGTGGCTGTGGCTACAATCGTAGCTACCACCACCTGAATGAATGTGTGTGAGTGAATAATTGACAGTGTAAAGTGTCTTTGAGTGCCTAGAAAGGCGCCATATAAATCTGATCAATTATTATTATTGTTAATAACTGAATTATTATTATACTGTTTTATTATTTCTGCATTAAAATATGGTTGAACTGTTGCTTTTCAAATGTGCATTTTTGTATTTGCATTTCAAAAACGAGCCTAGAGGTTGAAAGTATGACTGTATTTATACTATGAAGATCACTGCTGTGCTTCATAGATATAAGCGTGTCAGTGTCGTCAACCACTGGTGCGATTTCTGACCCCATTGGCTTTCAGCTAATCTCTCCCCATTACACACAGCTTTTCATTGCACATTCTTCTGTAATGCATACTGGATTTTTTTTTTTGTATCATCAGCTCACTTTCCTCTCTTCAACTTGCTCATCATCTCTTCCCTTCTCCTGTCAGAAGGAAGGGAAAAGCAGACAACCAAGTCCTGATAGTATCAATGTTTTTTTTCCCTCCTCTTTTCTTCATTTATCACTCTCTTTCTTTTTGGTCTCTTCTTCTCCAAAGCCTCTCCATCCTCGCTGCGTGTTCTCCCCCATGGCTTTCCTCTACAGCAGTGCGTTGCCTTGGTAATTACCAGTTGTCTTAAACAGACAGATGGAATAAGAGAGAGTGACGGGCAATTTTCCCAGCGCCTGTTTTCCCCATGTATGTGCACGCAACTCTTTTTTTTTTCTTCTTCTTGCGTATGTGTTCTGTATGCACGCTTCTTTACTTCTCCTCGCTCGCTCTCTCATGCACTTCCTGTGAGTTTGCATTTGTGCTCGGCCGATGTGTGTTTTGTGTGTGTGTGTGTGTGTGTGTGAGGCAGACGTGGGGAATTACCTGACAGGATGTGTTAGTCAAGGATGGAAATGGGACAGTCTCATCTGCTGCTCTTGTGTTGGCCATTTTAGATGCCAGGTGTCACTCTGGACCTCTGCAGGGCCTCGGGAGGCATCACTGCTCTCCCCTACCCTTTTTCTCCCAGCATGCCCTAGACACAGCAATGGAGTAGAAACCAAAAAAAAAAAAAGCTTTCAGAGAGGAGAAGAGAATCTGGGTGTTACGATGAGTATTATCACGATGTCAGAGTTCACCTATGCATATTCATGTCGTCCAATTAATGTTTGTCTTTCAGGCTGGTATGATCAGGACGGAGCAGGAGGAGTTTTTTATCGAGCCGGTGGAGAGGGGTGATGGAGTGATAGAAGAGGAGGGGGAGGAGGGAAGAGGAGGAGGAAGGACGCACATCGTCTATCGCTCTTCGGCCGTTAAGAAAGTGCCCATCAGCAGCGCAGCGGCAGACTTCCACTCCAGAGGTTAGTCTGTGGCTCCTATTGTGCTACCCTCCACTTTAATGCGTCCTTCACTGGAAGCTCTTCACGCACACTCCAGTCCTGCGCCGTTGTCTCCGTTATGACATCCGAGATCATTCAACCCCCCCCACCGAAATTTTAAAACCTGCACTGTTGCCCGCGATGCATCTCCAAACACAATCCAGGCCTCTTAGATAAACAGGTATCTCAAATCATTCTTCCCTCACACACACCTTGTTATATAATCATATCAAAGTATTGAATGCGACGGCAGTGAGTCACAGTGTGAGCACACCCTGCTGTCAAAAAGATTACACCTACACACACTCAAACACATCCTCCTGTCACCGCACTAATTTTCCAGTGAGAAAGGAGTGACATATGGAGACACACGTGTTTGTAAGGTAGCAGCCTCTGCGTCTTTTACAGAATTATACGCTGCCTTGACTGCCTCAGCAATTAACAGCTGGCGCTCGAGTCTTTTGGTTTCTCGTCGTGTTCTCCTCCATTTTCTACTCGACGGATAAAGTCAGCGAACTGAAACAACACAAAGGGACTTTATTTTATAGAAAGCCATATGATTCGAGGGAAGGAAGACATAATAGGCTTTAATACTCAAGGCCGGAATACTATCACACATACAAAATTATGTTTTCACGATTAAAAAATAAATAAATAAAAAAATCTATTCATCTTTTTTTTGTCCTGTATTACTTCTAAATCTTACTTTTTACAATGTAATTTATTATTCAAAAGCCGACGTGGAGCATTTATTTGAATGAACATAATTGGGAGCACATAATTCACTGCAGCTATGAAGACAAAAGAGCAGATCATGCATTTTCAATCAATAGAAAACACTTGCATTTATCTTGACATTTATTCTTTACTTCTTAATGCCAGATCTAGTAAACATCTCTCTCAGATGCTCATGCATAGGACAGGGGAAATTGTGTAAATCTGGCTCAATCTGGTATTTAGTTAAATGTGCTACATAGCTAAATGTCAACAGTCTTTCTCCAGAATTGCAGACTCTGTCTTTAATACAGTGGCCATAGAAATTTGCATAAATTTAAAGGAATATTTCGATGACCGTATATTGATGCACGCCATGAAACCTAGATCGTACGTTATGTTACTGAATGAAACTTAATAATCAGATTAAATGTTGCTTTAACTTGTCGTGAGAAAGAATGCTGCAGGTTTTTTTTGCAGGTACATTTAGCAGATCTAAATTATAACAAAACGTGGATTCTCTGAATGGTGATTACATACCACAATAGCATTGCCTACTTCTGCTGAGCGTATTATTGTTGACCTTCTTATTGCTGAAAAGAGCAGAAAAAAGGAAGAATAATCACTAGAAAATACTCCGTATTATCAGCTCTACTGTCAGGCAATTCAGCACTTGACTTGCAGGTGAAAATATCCTTGCAACGCATGCCTCAGGTTTGTGTCAGTAGAAGTAGCCGTCCAATCACTCTGATTGATCTGATGCCTACGAGTGAATCAATTGACCCCGACCAGTGCAAGAGTCTGTATCTCAACTAATCACCAAAGTGGAAATATTCTCGAGGAAGCGAGGCTCCCGCGTTGTACAGGTGCGAGTCGAAGCACTTTATAATGAGTGCATTGCAATACATGAGATCTGTGTCTTCCTATTCTGAGCCGTTGACTCAAGAATGTCTAATAATACACAGAGAGAGAGAGAGAGTTTCCATAGGAACACCCAGCGAGGACAGACTGCATTAGAGTAACACAGATCTGCTCCCACTGTTACTGATACCTGGCAGTACATCCACATACATACACACATACGTATGAGCATGAGCACGTACACACACTGGGGGAGGGAAAAAAAAAAACAAAAAATACAGCGAAACTTTACGGAAACACATGCACATATCCAGGATGTAACCACACACAGCTTACACAACTCCCTTGATCATACATCTACACTTCTGAACACACATACATGCCGCATGCACACAGACACACACACACACACACACAACGCGTCTCACCGCTCCTTGTTGCCTTTGAATCTTTCTTTCTAATGAAGAGTGGGGTGCAGATCAATAGCGTAGGATAGAACAGGCCACTGTGTGTGTGCGTGTGTGTGTGTGTGTGTGCGTTTGTGTACGTGTGTGTCTGTGCGAGGATGGCGTGGGCATGAGTTCTGTGGTCGTCTGGCTTTGAGTGCTGGGATTTTCAAGGCTAAGCAGACAGACAGACTGACAGACAGACAGACAAGCAGGCATGTGCTGCTCCCAGTAGCATTTGATGTGGATCTCTCTCTTCGTTTCTCTTTTCCTTTTTTTTTTTTTGTTATTTTTTTTTTTTTTTTTTTTTTTTTTTTTTTTTTTGTCTTAGCTATTCTGGACCACANCTTTTTTATCTCTTGTCTTAGCTATTCTGGACCACAACATTATGTAAACATCAGGTTTACCTTCCAGTTGTTACATCATATCACTGTAATATCAGAGCCACATGGATGTATAGGAGTCTTTACAAACACTGTTTCCCCTCAAATTAAAACCAAGTCTTTGTTGCTCACCTCTCATTCTCTTTCCCAAACAATCCTCCCCTCCCCCTCCCCCGTAGATCAATCAGAGACATTAGCGAATTAATTAATAATCAATCAATCATTTCTGAAGCTCTCCTGCGCCAGCCTTGCTTAATTCACAACCAGTTATTGAATGTTGGACTCATTTCCTGGCTAAAGACAGAGGGAAGGAAGTTATATTTAGCAAGGTAATAGAGGAGCTCGAGAAGGAGAGAAAGAAAGATGAAGAAGGAGCGAGATTGATCGGTTTCTTACGCCATAAGCTGAGGAGGTGTGAATCAATGTCCTAAGTGGAGAGAGCAAGCTTTATTATTAATGTGGCACATTCGTCAATTAATCGCTGCGGCGATAGAAAACGAAGGATTGCCATTCTTTTTTTTTTTTTTTTTGCTGCTCCATCTTTCAATCTGTCTGTCCTTCCCCACTAGCCATTTCATTTAACTCCTTTTAGCTGTTGATCAATTGATCGAAATAATTTTAGGTTTTTTTTGTTTGTTTGTTTTTAGTCCTCTGGGTTTACCTTCACTTGCTGTTTTTTTTTTTTTTTTTTTGCTACAAACAAATCATCATCTTGCATTCCTCCATATTCCAGAGGCAGGACAGTGAGGGTGGACTTTAGTGGGTTTGTCTTATTGGACTGTGCATGTGTTCCTGCAGCTGCATGTACACAAACATGTGTTTGTTGTGTGTCAGTGCAGAGTTGCGTCCAGGGCAGTGAGACATGATGCCCAGACAGATGGACTACCACAGGGCATCTTCCCATAATCCCATTCATCTATTTTTTTTCTTTTCTTGGCTGAAATCTCACATAAATATTATACATAAACATCCTACATTCTCATTTTCGCACTGTTTCTCGCAACAATATTCGTGCATGTCGAGGCTATTCAATGTTATATTTTGGTCTCGTTTTGAAGACTTGTAGAACAAGAAAAATGCAGTCCTTTGCAGCTCACTTGTTTTCATTGACATTTCAGAGATCTGTATTGTTCTCAAAGCAGAAAGGCTCCCTGCAGCCTCTGGGGCAAAGTGACTGCAATTAGCTGGTGGGCTGACACTGGGCGGAGGACCGAGGCAGCTACACAGGACCCCGTGCTTTTAGACAAAGCCTGCGTTTGTTTCACCCCTCAGGTGGTGCTGTTCTACGCCCCTCTCGTATGTTTTGTGCTGTACCGTATTGTGCTTTACCATTCGAGGCCGATGTCGAGCCGCTGTCGATGTTTGTTTGCCACATTGCGCAGCGCCAATACGATGATGCGCAAGCCTTGGCCGGAGCTAAGAGGAAGCAGGAGAGAGGGTCAGACGGAGGCCAGCGGTGCTCGTCACTGTGGCTTAATGTCTGCCTCCCACATCCAGAAAATGAAGGATGATCCCAGGAGTCCCACTCTCGCTCTATCTCGCTCTACCTCGCTCGCTCACTTCGCTGCTCCCTTCTTGCTCCGTCTCTGCCGGTGTGATGCGAGGATAGTCATATGGTGCAAGGGTTTTAAGAGGAGACTCATGACTAAGCACTTAGAGATGTGAGCACACACAGCTCATAAATGGCCTGAACTCATCTTCAGCGTGTAACAGGGGGGTCCCAGCAGACACTTTGCAAATATGGCGCGCCTCTTGTTGGAAATCCCAAATAGCCTCCATGAAAACTCTCGGAAGGTGACATTCTCTGTCACTTGAGCCGAGACGGTGATGAAACATCTTCCTAACCTCTTTGCTTTTTGAGTTTTGCACAAAGACAAAAGGGAATTTCTAGTTTCATTGGTTGTATTTTTGTAGTTTTGGCCGTGGTTCAAATGCTAAAAAGAAGTCAACACTATCAGTCATACGACCAGACAGGTTGTAAAACAATCTTCCAGATTTGCCAAATTTTTTTTGGACGGAAGAAGAGAAGTATGGTGAAACTGCTACCCAGAATGTCTGTTGTAAACATCAAGACAGTTTTCCTTTTCTATGAGTGATTGTTACCAACTGTTTTGTGTACTTTCTGCTTTCCAACCAAATTTAAGTGATTAGAACAACATGGTTCAACTGTTAACTTGTCTACAACTGGTCTCATTATCTAAACGCCACATTGCAATAAACAACAACAACAAAAAAAGAAATCTGTAATCACTACTTAGCAGACACAGTAGAATGCATTTACACAATCTGATTCCTCAAAACATCACTCATCTCACGTTTAACTGCAAGATTAATGCATATGTCAATTTCTATTATCTGGCCCAGTTCCCTGAAGCAACATAATTCCGTTGCAGCAGTGTCTTTCCATTCGCCCTGAAGTAAAATGGCTGTCTAGGCCTCGGTATGAACGAGATCGAGCCGTCTGAACTTTGTCTGTAGGCTGGTGTTGTTAGCCCTGAAGCGAGCGGTTTTCTAGGAGAATTCCTTCGCCATATGTAACCAGTGTAAACAATGTCATTTGCCAAGGCCCGTCTGAGGC